ACATAACCAAAGAACAAGCTAAAGGATTTCAACTTGAAGGGGAAACTGCTCGCTTATGCTCCAGAAAAATCAATCAACTTGATCTCCACTACAGCCAAGGCTTCATTTTTCTGTTAAAAGATATTCCCGTAGTATATGTCAAAGAATAAATTTCAACAAGGAGGGGAAACTGCAACAATACAAAAAATGTAACTGGAATGCTAGCCATTATAAGTATGGGAATGATTGCCCACGGTCGATGTTGTAGTATAATCCAAAGAGCAGCAGAAAAGCTAACCATCATTGCTGCAATAGAAATAAGAATGGTGGAGAGGAAAATGATCAACTTCTTGGGTAAGGACTGGAGAAAATCTACCGGGTCGAAGCGCGATGCTAGGATTCCCATAAACATTAAGACTGAAGCTGATGCAGTAAAGAAGGAAATCGCATCAGATATTATAAATATCATAAATGATCTTTTCTGTAAAAAATTGGGAAACCCATCTTGAGCGTTGCCGCCTGGAACAGTAAAGGCTGCAGCGAACGTGATCGTAATAATGAGAGTACCGACGACAATAAAAGAATTTGCCATGTCCCTCATCCATTTTTCCCCCTCGTTCACTAACTCTTTATGCCTCTTTGAAAATACTTCATAAGGGGTTTCACCATTATCATTTTTAGATTTTTTGCACCATTCTGGAACAATTCTTTCCACCTCCTGCATTCGGTTAACAAAAGTACACATTAATTTTTAGAACAACAAATTAGGTTTTATTTTTGAAACAAATAAATAAGTTACACTTATTTTATATATAAACTTTTAAGAGAATCAAAGTACACTTTATGTATAAAAATAAATTAAAATAATTGATAATAATTTTAAAATGCTATAATTAAGTGGACAAATAAGATGAAAACCTTAAACCATTGTACTTCTCTTTGCATATGCAATGCAGGGCTGGAGATTCGGACAAGTTGAGGGGGAGGAGCTATCTCCCCTGCCACATGTAACATATTATTCCCTTTTATGTCTATCTGATTCAGAATATGGGCTTTCCATCCCTCATTAATGCCATATAGGAGGCTGAAAATGTTTTCTTGACGAGATTGGATTGCTATCATGAAAACGTGTCTGTCATCAATGTCAGTGAAAATGAGTGGTTGGGTTATTTTCAATAGCTCAACGACGAATTCAACAATGCCCTGCTTGGTAGCTCCAAACATCGCCTCAACCACTCCACAATTCCGCAGAGATTGAACTTTTAATGTTGAAATATAGTTACACATACATTGAAGAATCTCAAGACTATAGAGATGCATCAACTTCAAATCATAAATTTGTTTGATTCCTAAGTACATCAAGAATCAATTAACATATAGGATGAAAGGCATAAGAATAGAATAATAAAAGTATAAATGCTAAAATATGTAAAAAAAAATAAGTTTCATAGTTGAGGGTCGGTTACCAGAGAAATTTTGGAGCACTAAACTCAATCTAACATGTCGATCAAATACTCCAAGAATAAATCTCTGTTAGAGCATGTACAAAGGAGAACAATACAAAAATTTATTTTAGTACTACATTAACATAATTGATATTATTTTGTATAAATTTACATAATTTTAAATATTTAAATTTTAAATAAAATATCTAATAAAACACTTTTTATCCAGTATATATATATATATATTAAATAAAACCTTCTTAAAAATTGTATACCACCATTAATTTATTCAATTCAGTTCAAAAAATTAAATTAAAAAAAT